ACTCAATACAGGAAAGTGGTCCGTTGCTATGTTGTTCTTTGTTCTTGATGCCCTAGAGAGTCACTTGCAAGATTGATAGATAACTTGAGAGAATGCTTGATGAATTCTTGAATGTGCAAATGTTTTGTTTAACCTTTGCTTGATGTTAATAGTTCATTTGTGATCACTTGAATGATGTAAGCAAGGTAGGTAAAGGGAATTCCCCATAAAGTTGACTGCTTCACTATTTTTGCATTGTTGCGTGTGCAGGCAGCAACTTTACAACTGGAGAGGTTGACTTGTCCAGTCACCACGGGAACTAGTACCTATTTGTTCCCTCTGTTGTTCCTTTGACTCTGAAGAGTTGAACCATCTCCCAACTGGAACCTTGTTGATCTTAAGGTCTTGAGAATGTGTAATAGGTTGCTTATCTGGTTCTTGACAGTAAGTTTGTTAGATCATCAAAACATAACAAGGATGCATATATTTCTCCCTTTTTGATGATGACAAACTTATAATTCAAGTTCTCTTTGAGAACCAGAATGACATTCACATTTCTTGTATTCCCCTTGAATCTATTCCCCATCCTATTCCAATGAATTATTTTTCCCCTTTTGGAATTATAAAAAGATTAGTAGTAGGCCTTAAGTAAAAAAGAAGTCTGGCTTGAGTTAAATCATGCCACTAATGTGCACACAACATGACTAAAAACAGAACATAAAAGCAAGGCATACATAACAGAAGGGGAAAAGCTTTCATTAAATAATTTAGATTTTAAGACTGGGAGCAGTTTCAATGTTGCCAACAACCATCCACAATTCAAAACAGAAAAAAACAAGTGCCATCCACAACATCATTAGAAACATAACACAAGAAACAAACATTTAAAACTTGACACTAGAGAGACACTTTCAAGAGAGCACTGGAAGGAGAGGGTAGTGAAACCCATGATTACCAAACACCTTTGTAAGAATAAACCTATAATGAAACCCATGATTACCATCTTTGAACTTTGCCACTCTCCGATTTTTGCAGGTAGTGCATTTTTATCTTTCTTTAACTCCTTTATTGATTCCTTCAAATCAGCAACTATGACCAACAAATCATAATTAAGACATTAGCTAAAGATACTAGCTTCTTTGACAATAAGACTTCAAATTTCGTTGAACATCTAGAAGTTTACCTCATCGTAATCATCATCTTCATCCTCATCAGATTTTGCCATTAGGTCAAATATGGAATTATATTCTGCAGCTTAGCTTTCAACGGCCATCACGGAGGTGTCACCTTGTCCATCATCACCCTCAGATTCACAAGAGGAATATCCCCAAGTGGCAAGAGCTTGTTTCACAACATTTTCAGCGACATCTCTTCCCTTGAATTTCATGTCAAGGACCGAGTTCCTCTTAGACGTCTTTTCCATGTTGTATTTGTAATTTCCCTTCTTCTCGAGAGGGCAATCTTGTATAAAATATCCTGGCTTTCCGCACTTGTGATAGTAATTTTGTGTTCCTGCTAGAGCTGCCTTTCTTAGGAATTCATCCATTTCTACGAACCATTTTATCAAATCTCCATGTAGTATTGGCCATGTCAGCATCATCACCACTTGAATCATTGTTGTCCACCTTGAGAACCAAGTTCTTCTCCTTTTTGGGTTCTCTTCTTTCATGGTCTTTGTTTGTCTTCATTTCATTGGATTTTAGATTTCTAATGAGCTCGTTAATCGTCAGCTTTTGTAGATCTTTGGCTTCTATGATAGCATTGACTTTGCTATACCAGGAACCAGGCAACACAATAAGTATTTTTTTGACCAGTTTGGTCCTTGGGATAATATATCCAAGAGAGTGAAGCTCATTGATGATGGAAGTAAAGCGAGGATGCATGTCCTGAATAGACTCGTCCTACTTCATCTTGAAGAGTTCATACTCAGCAGTGAGCATGTCGATTTTTGACTGCTTGACTTGAGTGGTTCCTTCCTGTGCAGTTTGGAGAGCCTCCCAGATCTCCTTTGTAGATTGGCAAACTGAGATGTAGTTGTACTCATTTGGTCCAATGCCACAAACAAAGATCTTCTTTACTTTGAAGTTTTTCTCGATGGTTTTACGATCAACATCTTTATATTCCTTCCTTATCTTTGGAACTGTGATTGTTGTCTCACCAATGGTCTTCATAGGGACAAAGGGTCCATCATAGATAACATCCTAAAGATCTGAATCTTCTTCCATGATACAATCATGTGTTCTTTTCTTCCACCACCCGTAGTATTGTCCATTGAATCTCTGTGGTCTGTAGATTCATTGATCTTGTTCAAAATTTTGGTGGTGCAGCCATGAAGATCCTTTCTAGGTGTTAGCCTTATATAAAGAACCCGTTCTGATACTAATTGATATATACTAGATTCCACCAAACTGTATGAAGAACCTGGTTCTCTATCAGCTTCTACATAACACATCAGTAAGTAATTAACACAATGATATTTATGTAGAAAACTCCCAGCTCAAGGGATTAAAAATCACGACCTACACTCCTAGGATTTCAACTTCACTAACTAAGCAACTTTAGATTACAACCTATTGTAACCTAGGAATTAAACTCGTAATCCCGCACCTACTTACAATAACTGTATTACAAACCTCTTTGTAATAACTCTATTACAAAGCTAATAACTTGACTAACTCTAGTCAACACAACCAAAAAGTTTATGGTTTACAAAGTGTCCTACGAGATACTTTTAAATAAGCTGAGTATTAGTTACAAGAGAATAACATTAAAAAAATACACAACAATACTAAGAACACATAATGTAATCAATGTTGGGATCTGGTGCTTCGTTATGTTGTTGTTTTGTTCTTCAATGCATTGAGAGAATGAAGGCAGCTGCACACTTGAAAATAAAATATGTTTATGGTTTTTCAAGTGTATGTAATCCATTGCCTCATGTTAGTAATATATAAGTGAGGTTATCAAAGATGATGTAAGGGATAGTCCGACACACAATATTCTTCAACAATGCTGTTGTATTGTTGCGTGTACAATGCAACAACTTTAACAGCAATAAGAGTTGACTTGTACTGTGACCGGAGGAACTGATATCTATATGCTCACTCTATTTTTTACTTAACTGATTTCATTGAAACTTGTGCTAGTTATTTGACTTGTTGTTCTGAACGCGGAGGAACTAGTTATATCAGGATCTGGTTCTCGTATGAAGTTTGTTAAATCATCAAAACAAAAGACACATAACTTATCAGTAGCACTATTTCTCATCATTTTTCCTATCCAGTGGAGTATGTTTTATTTGTTTATCAATTGAGCGGTTTCTTCTCTTTGGAATGGTTTCTTCTCTTTGGAATATTTCTCTATATTATTATTGGATGGTTTGTTCTCCTACTATAACTGTTTAATATTTGTTATCGTTATGTTAAGAGTTTTAATGAGTGTTAATACTTTGTAATATTTTCTTGGTTCTGTTCATATACCTAGCAATTCTTTTCCTATAATTTATATAACAAGGTAATTAGTGTTCATTAATGTCTATGGTTCTCAATATTCTTTAATATGTTCTTATATAATATAGATCTTGAAGTGTATATTGGGTTTCCTTTAATTTTACCTTTTTGGAGCAATAGCACAAACAACTTATTATATGGAATCTAATAGAAACTGAAGTAGTAGAGTCTGAAGAAGTAGGAGAGCACACCTCAGCAATTTGAGATTATTTAAATTTGTTGCTGAATGGTAGTGTAATTTCAAACATATTATTGGTAGGTAGAACATGATGTACATGCCAATAATTTTCTCACAAGAGCCATATAGTACAACAAGAAAATATGTCAATATCTAATTAAATTTCTTTTTTTTGTTCGTGTAACTAATTCATTTTGATAATCTAAATCTTATTCTTTTTTCATATCAACTAAACTTATAAAATGAGTTATTCGACTGTGTGAAGTACGAATAAATTAACTAGTATTTAAAATAATTAATGGGAACCTTTTGCACTTATAAAATAGTTTTCAAGCTTTTTCTTGATTGATTAAGTTACGAAAGAGTTACTTTCTCATTCACAACAGAAAAGGTTATTGTTTTAGGCTTGAAAATGAAGCTGAAAATCTGTTGAACTGTTACTTGTTTCATGGGCATCATAAAGCAAAAAGGTAATTTTTAATTAATTGTGAGTATAATTCTGTTTATTCCCTTTATTCTTCTCACTAAATTAATCCCCGTAATTCAAAGACTTAAACAACATATTATTCTAACGTAGGATGATGCAGACCTCCTTATAATATATTTGATCTCCAAGAAAATCGGGCAATACTCCGGATCAATCATGAGGAACGACTTCTCTTGATATCTCCTTCTTGTTTCTTTAATCGAGGGCAACAATCAAGGGCCAAATACAAATTTTCTTGAATTACTTGATTGTCGCAAAATATCTAACCTCGTTTTGAGTTGATCTTGAGGAAGAATGTCTTTTGTTTACTTCAACTTTGAGAAAGGCAATATTTGAAGTCTTGATCTATTTGTGAATAAACAGTTTATGAGATTTTTCGGGTTAGGCATCTTCTATAAATGTGCCTAAATTATAGTGTAATTGCTTTCAATATATAACAAATTGATTTTGATTAAATCATCTCTCGTTGTTCTTTTATTTGAAGCAAATCATTTTATACTGCAAAAGTTAAGAATAAAAAAAGAAAAAAAAATCGAAATAGAACTCATATGACTATCTTATGAATGATCTAGCATCAGTCAAACAAAATTTTTTAATATTTTACCACTATCTAAGATACTGAAAAGCAATACCATAGATACTGACCACCAGATATTTGGAAACAGTAAAACGTGAATAGGCAGTAGTATTATTTATGAGTAAATCAAGCCTACTTAAAAGATTTGGTCACCAATAATATACGTGTCAAAGAAGCTAATTGGGGCCTCCTCCTATTTGTTTATGATTATTGTACGTCTTGACAATAACCTGTCTATATAAATTCATAATATGCTTTAAGCAAAGATCAATAACAACAACTTCTGGGTCATACATATTCCTAGTGAAGTGACCATGAAATTACATGTTGCTCTTATCCTGCTCTTTTCATTTGCTCTGGTAAGTTTTTACAGATGATTAATTATATACTTCCTTTTTGGTGGGTTATTATTAATTACTACTTTCTTGGTGCACTATCATGCGCTTCTCTTTCAACTGCCTTGCCTTTCGAATTGTAATGTCTTTACATATAAGATATTAACAATTGAATTATTTAACTTATGCTCCAGCTCTTTTTATTTATATGAACGTATTTGACTGAGCACAGAGGTTTTCAATAAGACAAAATCTTTTGAAATCTTAAACATATCATAATATTTGTGTGGCTATAAGATTATTAACATATGTAGTATTAAATATGTGATACCATTTGTGTGGTTATGAAAATCTTTTATTAAAGGTAATATTAAAATCCTAAAACTAAAAGAGTTTCTTTATTAGAAGTGGGTTCATACTGAATCAAGAGGAGATAAGTTCATGTAAAACTGAAACATATGGAATAATATATTCTCGACTGTCCGAAAAGAATGCTTGCTTTTTGAGCATAACTAACATATGATTTTTCCATAAACCTAGCCGTTTAAGCCCATCTAGCTAGTGAGAGGTTTAGCCTATTTAACCGGATTATTCATTTGTCATGGCATATCCCTATCGAACATGTGTAAATAAGAAAACTTTCTTTTTGGCAAATAACTCTTCAAAATGCAATAGAATTTTACATAGAACTCTATTTGCCAATACTAAATATTTACATAACCGGTACCTACAAAGGTTCAAGCATTAGAATTCTGTGGATTCTTTATTTTAGAACGATCTCAAGCTTTAATAACTGAGTTTCGAATTTAATTTTTGTATATACTTAGTGAATTTTTCGGATACATAAATAGAATTTCTTGGAAAACATTACTGGTTATATTGGACCCATATGTTAAAGCCTACATTTTCCCTGAATATACCAAATATCTACGCATATCAGTTTATATAAATTATATATTCGAATGTAAAGAAGTTCATATAGCATATATTCAAAAAGTCTTTTTTTGGTCTCTCTTTCTCCGGCAGTACACAAACAGCACCAATGCAAGAAAAGATCCTGGAGATCAAACATCTTATGCCTCAGCATTCTGTTCCTCTCTCCATAGAGAAAACTGATTGTTACACATCACCTTCTATTGGAGGTGAAGCCTTTGAACCAAGGCCTAATATATCTGTCTACCACGATGACGCCAAGCTGAAAGAAGCTGAGAAATTATTATTTACGAAAGATTTTGAGCCAAGGCCTACTATAACTGGTTATCATGATGATGATGCTGGTCTTAAACAAGAAAATCCCTTTATCAAAGATTTTAAGCCTAGGCCAAATGCTTCTGTGTACCATGATTGATATTGCATATAATGTACTGTGTGTCTTTTTACATTTGTGATTTACATTTTGTATGCCTCCTGGTATTAAGTGATTTATGAAATAAAGATTTGTAACCATATTTGATGGTTATATTGAAGTATCTCTTTACATTATTATGTGTTCTGAGCAATGATTGATATGCTTGGATTCCTTTTAGCTGGTTTGTTTATAATATTTTATGGGGTTACTATGAGTGGTCACTCAATTTTTACGTCATTACTCAAAGTTATTATTTTTTATACTTTAAAATCATTAAACTTTACCTAAATATGACAAACGTAAATGTACTATTTTCTGTAACCAAAAGATCACTTAACTCTTCCCAGATATCACATAAAGTCACTAGGAGGATACTAGTATGACATTTTCTATTATAGCCTTTTTGGTTAAAAAATAATTATTTAGTGATTTTCCATGATGCTTAGGCAAAGTGAGTGATATTTTGGCTACAACAAATGGTTTAGTAACGTTCTTGTTTAAGCTAGCTAATTTTTGTATCGCTAACCTGTATAATTGTATATTGAATCAACTCGCATAATGTGAGTTATAGAAAATGTATTTTGTTATGAAGAAATGGAAAATATTTACGTGAAAAACTCTCAGCTCACGCGATTAAAAACCACGACCGACACTCTCGGATTTCAACTTGACTAACTGAGCAACCTTAAATAAAAATCTATTGTAACATAGGAATTAAACTCTTAATCTCTCACCTACTTACAATAACTATATTGCAAACCGCTTTGTAATAACTCTATTACAAAGCTAACCGCTTGACTAACTCTAGTCAACACAACCACAAGGTTTTTCTTTTACAATGTTTCCTACGAGATGCTTTATAAGCTGAGCATGAGTTACAAGTAAAAAACATAAAAAAAGACATAACAATACTAAGGATACACGATATAATCAATATAGGGATTTGGTCCTTCGTTATATTGTTGTTTTGTTCTTCAATGCCTTTGAGAGAATGAAGGTGGCTGCACACTTGAGAATAAAATATGTTTTTGGTTTGCAAGTAAATGTAATCCCTTGCCTCATGGTTCTAATATATAAGTGAGGTCATCAATGATGATGCAAGGGAGTGTCCGGTACATGGAATGCTTCAACAATGTTGTTAAACTATTGTGTGTGCAATGCAACAGCTTTAACAGCTGTAAGAGTTGACTTATACTGTGACCAGAGGAACTGATATCTATCTGTTACCTCTGTTGTTACCTTAACTTCTTTCACTAAAACATGTGTCAGACATTTGACTTGTTGTTCTGAACAAGAAGGACCTTGTTCTATCTGATTCTCATATGAAGTTTGTTAAATCATCAAAGTAAAAGACACCTAACTTATCATTTTTCCCCTTTTTGATGATGAGAAACTTAGAATTGATATTTCCCCGTAGAACTACATCTCCATATTTTCCCCAGGACAATAATCATATTCCCCCTGAGAACCTGTTTCTCCCCATCAATTTTCTTCCCTCTTTTGGAATCATAAAAAATCAAACAAGTAATTGAAAAAAAAAGTGTAGCAAAGTTAACTCATACCACTTATGTACACACAATATAGCTATAAACAGAATATAAGAGTGCAACATGCATTTAAAAAGGACTAAGATGTAACGATCCAGCCGGTTGTTTTATGAATTGCAGCCTTGTCTCCCCCCTTTCTTCTTCTTCTTTATGTCTTATTTAGCTATATTATGTGGTATCGGGTCAGTTGGTTTGAGTTCGGAGTGGTTTTGGAGTGTTATGAGACACTTAGTCCCTTAAGTTAGTCATTTAGTTAGAAAAATCAACCAAAAGTTGACTTATGAGAAAACAATCTTGGAATTTGGTTTTTATGATTCAGATAGCTTCATGAGGTGATTTGGGACATTGGAGCTTGTTCGGAATGTAATTTGGAGGTCCGTGGTAGATTTAGGCTTGAATTGGCAAAATTAGAATTTCGTTGTTTTTTAGTTGGTAGTGAAATGTGGTCGGAATGGAATTCCAGAAATTGGAGTAGCTCCTTAATGTCATTTGTGATGTGTGTGCAAAATTTCAGGTCATTCGGAGTTGATTTGATAGGTTTTAGCATCATTTGTGGAAGTTGAAAGTTTCTAAGTTCTTAGGCTTGAATCCTAGGTTGATTTGGTGTTTTAGTGTTGTTTTCAGTGATTCGAAGGCTCGACTAAGTTTGAATGATGTTATGGGATGTGTTGGCATGTTTGGTCGAGGTCTCGAGGCCTTGAGTGAGTTTTGGGTGGTTAACAGACCAATTCTTGACTTTGGAGAGTTGCCGATTTTTTTTCTGGTTTTTGTTGCAGAAGAATTCATTCTTCGCATTCGCCAAGATTGTCCCGCATTCGCAAAGAAGAGTTGGGTCTAGAGGAGAAAGTGTTCTTCACGTTCGTGAGTCGGGGGACACATTCACATAGGTTTGGATTCTAGTGAATCGCAAACACATGAGATGAGTCGCGTTCGCGTAGGGTAAATTGGTGAAGCTGGGACCCCCCGGAGTTGTGCATCGTGTTCGTGTAGGTAAGATCACGTTCGCGAAGGCCTGGGTAGCTGAGTCTTCGTGTTCGCGTGAAGGAAGTCACGTTCGTGAAAGAGTATTTAATTTTCCAGTGATTTTTGTGCTTCGTGAACGCAAGGCCTTGACCGCATTTGCGAAGAAGGAAATATACCTAGGCAGAATGTTTAAATAGCCATCTTCACGATTTTTAGGCCATTTCGCACCATTGTTGGCCGTATTTGAAGCTTTTTGAGAGGGATTGAAGAGGGATTCAAAGTGTAGCACTTGAAGGTAAGATTTTTGAACTCAATACTCGATTATATGATGATTTCTAACTAATTTGACATGAAATTAGTGGGATTTAAAGCCAAAAAAATTGGAGAATTAGGGTTTGAAATTGGAGAGTGTAAATTTGGGATTTGAGGGGCCATTTATGGTCTGCTTTTGATGTTCTTGGTATGTACGAACCCGTGGGAGAACAAGGATTCTATTGATATGATTTTTGTCGGATTCTAAGACGTGGGTCTGGGGGTCAGGTTTGTCCAATTTTGGGAGTTTGGATGTAATTTGATTATTTTCGCGTGGGCTTTGTTCTTTAGCATAGTTTGATGTTATGGTTCTGATTTTGGTTAGATTCGGGGCATTTGGAGACCGAATCGAGAGGAAAAGGTATCGCGGGCTAGAGTTTGGCTTGGCTTGAGGTAAGTAATGCTTCCAAACTTGGTTTTGAGGGTTCGAAATCCCGAAATATGTGTTCTATGATTACTATTGAGGTGACGCAAATAACAAGTGACGGGCATATGGGCGTGCACCATGAGAATTATGTCCAGGATCATTCCATGGCACCACGTAATGATTCTTTCTTGTTGATACCCATGTTTCTATCATGTGATTAAGTAAATGGGCTGTAAAAACATGATAGATATCCTGTTAGGGCTTCACGCCGATACTATTGAGACCCGAGTGGTCGTATCTTGCTGTCATCTCATTACATTCACTAATATTCTATACTCAGTCTTGCTCATGCATATCATATCATGTCTCAGTTTCAGTTATTATTATTTGGCACATCGTATCATTGTTTTGGGCTAATTTCATGACATTGTGAGCCCGTGTGTGGGAGACTGGAGAGTGATGACTGAGTGAGGCCGAGAGCCTGATTGTGAGTGACAATTATGGGATCGGGCTGCATGCCGCAGTGGATTATTGATATATGCCTTCGTTGGCTTGTGAAAGCACTTAGGCTGTAGGAGCCACTCCAGATTCTGTAACAGATCCCTAGTGAGCGTAGTGGATTATATTCAGTGATGGATCTTCCATTGGTATGGATATGGATCTTCTCCATGATGGTTGGATTGGCCTGTTCCGCGGTACTGGAGACTGTTGGTCTGTGATGTGTATATATTCCGGGATGGATCTTCCTTGGGCCTTGTGAGCCATATACAGTACCGAGTGGTTGTGAGGTTGTTATTGTTACTATATGGAGATGGATCTTCTCTATAGGCTGGAATGGCCTTCCTCAGTACCGAGTGACTGTTGTCCGAGATGTATATATTCCAGGATGGATCTTCCTTGGTCCGCACGAGCCATATACAGTATTGAGTGGACGAGCATTTGATATTATGGGCACATGAGGCACTCAACATGGTGCATTTCATACAGCATGTGCATAGACATGTAGATGTAGCAGAGTTACAATTCTTTACCTTGTTCATACTTGCTCTGTTTTACTATTCGAGCTGTTTATTTAACTGAAAGCATGCCTATGTTTCTGTACATTATTTCTGTTATCCTTGAGGAGGTTGAGTTTGTCACTACCTATCAGCCCAAAGGTTGGACTTTTTGGACTTGTTACTTATTGAGTTGGTGCACTCACATTACCGCCTACACCTCGTGTGCAGATTTAGACACTTTGGATCCAGTGGCGAATGTTTGATCAGGGCTTCTGACTTAGAAGATTATTGAGGTACCTACACGGCGCTCGCAAGACTTGGGTCTCCACCTTACTTTCCAATTGTATTTCAGTTGTTCCCTTAAACATTATATTAGACTATGTATTTTCCTTAAGCACTCACACACTCAGTGACACCTCGATTTTAGGATGGATTGTATCTATTCTTGGAGTTTCTTATGTTTCAAATAGTTCTTTAACTATTAAAAGCTTCCGTAAATGTTTTAAAACTTATTATTATTCTGTTGATTGTTGAGTTGAGGCAGGCCTAGTTTCACAATAGGCGCCATCACGATGGGTTGGATTTTGGGTCGTGACAAGTTGGTATCAGAGCCTAGGTTACATAGGTCTCACGGGTCATGAGCGAATTTAGTAGAGTCTCACGGATTGGTATGGAGACGTCTGTACTTATATTCGAGAGACTGCGGAATATTTAGGAAATAAACTTCACATTCTTTAATTCCTATCGTACGACGTTGATTCAGCTTGAAGCTTAACTCTTTAAATTCCTTCCAGGCGTTTATATGCGCACATGAGCGTTCGGTATCAGTTGTGCATCGACGGCTTATGATTCCCTGATCAAGGGATGAGATATGATTTCTATGTGTTGATGTTGGGCCAGTCTAGAGGACCTAGGCCAGACTTTGCTTGTAGCTTGAGCACTGAGGT